AGGGAACTTTGAACATTTAAATCTGTACATACACTTTCACTTATATAGTGTTGAAAATTTCCCTCTCGCCTTCCCTCTCAACTCTATATTCAACCAAAGAGATACATTATCTTATGTTGCTATTACTTGATATCCATTTTAAAATACAGAGAAATGAGAAGGAGTCCCAAAGAAAACATCTTCGTAAAAATCTAAGTTTTGCATGAAAGACGAGAAGTCGTGATTGTATTCGTTCCATCACGACTCCTCCTTTTTAATCCAAAACTTCGTTTTTTGCGAGGATGTTTTCCTTCCTCGTTCGCTCTCATTTCTCTATATTTTGTTACATATGACATGTTGTGTCTCTAGTGTAATCCTCTGCTGAAAAGTGCATTCAAAGACGTGATAACATGATAGTCGTACAATGATACCTTTGATAATGATTTCTTTTGTTGTATTTGGTCCAAAACCAACTGTATTCTTCGGTGAGCATGTCCAGTTATAGGAGCCCGCTGGATAGGTATTCTGTTTATTAATTACACGAGTTGAAGCAGCCTGCACCACTTTTCCATTCAAAATAAATCGATATTCGTTGACAGATGGTCTGGCGCTTGCATAGCAACTGAGATAAATTTTTCCAGTCTCACATATAGTACCCGCTGAAGTATATAAATTGGTGTTTTTCGGCTTGTCTGTGGACAGCAAGAACAAAAATTTATAATTATATCTTTAACGCATGGGTAGTGCAAGACCTATTTCGAACTTTTATTTTTCCATAATGCATTTATTTAGATCGTGCATGTGTATTCGTTGTACTTGGGCTCTTAAAAAAGGCAGAGGTTGGTCTGCAGTGATGCGACAGAATAAAACGAAGAAATGAGAAATGAGTGAGATTCGATCAATATTAGCAGAGGCTGACTTAAAAGTGCTGAACAATTTGGAATCTAAGGGTCGTTAGGTTTAAAATAGGTCTGGGAATAAAACACTCGTTGAATTGCAAAAACAGATGGGTTACAAGGGTCAAGAAGAATAAATTTGGAATTGGAATAAAATCTGGATGATTGTGACGTTTGAGTAGTTGTAACTGCTCTAAATATAAAATGCGAAAATGGGATTAAAAATGCCCTTCTTTTCATGTTTTAGTTGATAATTCTTTGTAAAATTCAAGTGAAAGCGGGAATAGCCTATTTAATTCTTAGGATATAAAACCTTGTGAATAGGAAATCAATTTTCACATAGTTTCAAGGTACATTGACTTTTTCTCACTTTTATTACAATTTAAGTCCTTTTTTGCGGACTCGAAGATTGCGAAGCAATCGAATAGTTATAGGAGGGAGATAGATTTAGATGATGTGTGTGAGGGACTAGTTGATAAGTCACTTATTTTTTCTGCAAACATACGCGTATTTAGAAATCCGTAACCAAGAAATTGTGATGATGTTGATAATTCATTGTCGACATCGTTAAGTAAGTGTTACGTATGCATATAAATTATTAAGTTCAATATTTTCATTTTATAGATTTTCTATCGAAATTAGAACATATCTAAACAAAGTCTGAGGCTTCATACAGATTTATGTCCACCGTATATTTGTCTARCAATATTCGAGTTGCGTCGCCATGCCATTGGCAGCTTGATTTTACAATTTGGTGTCTTATGTGAAATCCTTAGTATGTCACGAGTTGAGCCTTGCCGCAAATTGACTATACCTGCAATGTGATTTTATTTATATTACTTACAGTTTACATAGACAAGTGTTTCTGGTGAAGTCTTTTTACATCCATTGGCATCAGTCACAGTGCAGGTGAATTTACTATAATGATCGCTACTRGCCGAAGCACTTTCTATTGTGTAGTTTTTGCTGGTCCAAGTTTGAATGGAATTCTTCTTATTCCAAACAATTGTGAAAGGACCATTTCCTGTCGCGTTACATACCAGATTTACTTTAGAACCTTCATTAACATTGACTCTACCAGGAGGATTCGAAACTCTCGGTAGAGCTAAAAGAGAAAACATCAGATATTAATAGTTTTAATTACAATAGTGTTAGAAAATACATGCTTTGTACAGAAAAAGCAAACAAAAAAAAAAAACAACAAAAAATGACAAGCGAAAGGTAAAACAAAAATAATAATTTAAATGTCATAATTCACTATTTCTTTATTTGGAGCACTATCATCATAATCATCTCCTTTACGGTAAATCTACCCTTGACAATTTTTAAGTTAAATCTTTGTCRATAGTAGTAGATTTAGTACGTTCAGTCTGTCTTACTTTTTAAAGTGACAAAGAAGCGAGGTAAAAGAAGAGACTGCGAAGGGACTAAAGAAGTAGAAAAACATCAGTGGCCTAAAGCCATGTTCGCCGACGTGGTTTTTAATCTACAGAATCCCATCAAGGAGAGTATACGTACTAGCAACAAACACTTTATTACATACCATGTGTAGTTATAATGATTGTATCATTTGGTGCCTGTCCAAGTATATCGATGCTTGGTGAACATTGGTATGTATGGTTACCAGCGATAGAGCTTTTTACGCTTATTGTCTTCAGTGCGTTGTTGCCCCTTGCTAAMAGTTGGTCATCCTTGTAAAAGAGATACTCGTCTTGTTCTGGGAATCCATTATATGTATTACATTCRAGGTTGACGTTCTCGTTGAGACAAACTTCAGTTGCASTGGCTGTTACATTCGTTATGTTCGCCTTGTCTTTGATAAAATAATAACCTCATTTTATATTAAGCAGTTTCAAAAATGTGAGTGATTTCAAAATTAAAAAGGTAGAAGAGGTAGAAAGGTAGAAAACAATTACTCATATCGGAAATTTTAGGTAATGCCAGCTTYCATGTTAGGTTTTGGGTTTTGTATAGGTGAAGGTTTCGGATTTTGAGTGAAATTTTAAGGAAAAAAAAAACATTCAACAATGATCTTGCTTCGATAGTTTTGAAGGGTGTTAGAGTGTCCTAATGGGATTAGCAGTCAACTGAGATGTGGCAAAAAAAAAATTAAATAAAATAAAAAAACACTGTAACAGTATTTATTTCTAGTGATATTGAGCTTGATCAATATGTATCATACATTTTGGTAGTATTTACTTACAATATTCTGCAATCCACAAGTCATCGATTGCAATGTCTCCATACGGATCTCTATCTTTGTTTGCTTTAAAGGTAAACTTTAAAAATATATAAAAAAAATGATTAGAAGAAAATAAAGATCTAAACCGCTTAAGACTAATTACCCTTTTACTTCCAGACATTGTGAGCTTTATGTCTGTTTTTTTCCATCCTTTCCCTTGATTGCCGGTCTTAGARAAGATGTTCGTGCTACCAGCAGTAACCAACAATGTTCCCATTGATCCATAACTTTTACTCATATCACTATACATAAAGTAATAGAACCTCATATATATGTTGTCTTTCGCTGGTATTGTTATAGTTTTGTAGACCTGGGCATTGGTGCCATAGGAGCGGTGGGCTCTTGCATTGAACATAAAGTAGTAACCTACAAGTTGGAATAACAATGTATTAATGCGTATGGCATACTCGTCATTAGCCATTAGAGCAAGAGCAAGAGCAAGAGCAAGAGCAAGAGCAAGAGCAAGAGCAAGAGCAAGAGCAAGAGCAAGAGCAAGTCAAACTTTCTCTTACCTGACCCTGTAGTGTGATCTGCAGTTGGACAGCACTTATAAGGGCTATATAATGCCCTTCCTTTTATTCTGTCCCACTTGTGATTGAAGGAGTCGGCTGTAGACTGGACAAACCCACAACTATCACTATCAAAATTGCACTCGAATGTAATAACTGTGGATTGAAAGAAAGGAAAACTCAGCGAGTGATCTCTGTTCAATACTGCTCCATTTCAAAGTGCATCTAAATGTTTTACTTTGGTTTTAAAAAACACGGTAAATTTAGTCTCCATATACATTATAGACTAAAATAGGAGTAGCCGACGTGTTCCTGGGAGAAGTATATCAATTCTTATGTCCCAACCAGCTGTAAGTCACAATTGTCGAGAGATTCAGGGAAAAAAGACTATTCAGGCAAGAAACATAATAATAATTTTTGCCAGGAAAATAATAATTTCCTTACTAAAAATATATATAAGCCGTTTTTGACCATACAAACGTTATATAAGCCTTTTGACCTTAGAAAAGTTTACTAGGAACATAATTATTTTAAAGAAGCCTCGATTACGGCGCTTCGCGCCGACAAAAACAATAGCAAAGAGAGAAATTATCAAACCTCTGGGACCAGGGTAGCTCCAACTACGTCACAAATTTCGATTCGATTGCACTTAAATGTTCACAGAAGTAACAGTGATTATCGATAATTCTTGTTGATAATTAAGTTTCCAATAAAACCAGGCCATTTGGATAAACGATGCAAANCATACAAACGTTATATATAAGCCTTTTTGACCTTAAGAACGTTTACTAGGAACATAATTACTTTAAAGAAGGAAGGGCGACACATTTGCTTGTGAGATTGTCAACAATGTAGCTCAGAATCCCTTTCTCAGGAAAAAATACATTGTCAACATCAATGTTCCGTTGTTTGGCTACTCTGGAGCCTCTTAAGGTATAAGCATACCTACGCGACCCCTACTCGCGTCATCGACTATAACCTTCTTGTTGTTTTGCAAATGCTCACAAAGTATATATTTTCTGAAAGCTTAGTAACTTTAGTTTATGCCTATAAGTGTTTGAAATGCATTTGAAATTATGTTTTAGAGTTATTAGGTCCTTTATCTGAAACTACATTCCTGTATTCTTGGTGTGCAGCCCCCAAAGTGAAAATTTATTAGTCGTTATTTTCAAAAACCCAGTAGCGAGTCACAAAGAGCATAGTCAGATTATCTAGAATATACGAGCTTTAAGGCTTGCAGCTTACTTTCTGATGAAGATATCAGCGAATAAAGATTTGAAATATTTGGTTAATTTGTATGGGGACRCCATCTTGGATGATAACTTTGATCATCCAAGATGGCGGCTGGTTTCAAATTGACATCAAAAACTCTGGTTTCCTTGATTTCCTTTGTAAATTTTGTTCAATTATGGCTTTATTTCAAAGAATAATCACCTTAAGTAAGTTCTTACGGAGTTGAAAGAATGATTTTCCAATTTCGAAGTTTTTGTTTACGATCTAAAAGTAGCAAATAAATTTCTTAAACTCTGCACAAACTAAAACTTTTGTGATTCGCCACCAAAGCGTTGAATTCGTCTGAAAATTTCCAAACACACTATCTAGAAATATATTTAAGATATACTGTAAGAACAGCTCTTTAGCAAAAATATTTTGGATTTTGCGAGATTTTTTGCGTGACTATGACATCACATGCACACGAAGAATAAAACGAACTCCAAGTCTGAAAGAATTATCGGAAAAAATTCAATTTAAGCGCTATTCTTTTGTTCACATATTTGTCTCAAAAATTGTGTCTTCGATTTTTCATACGCGCTCTCGTTTTGATTTAATGTTGTAATAAAGTTTAGGAACACCAAATTATGTCCCGTGAATTCATCACGGGACGACGCGCGGGAAGAACCTTCACGGGATAAACGAAACCATTTTGTACCTTCATTTATGGTCTCTAATGTCATGTCTCTGACGCCAAAGATGTGCGAAGTGAACGAATTTATCTTGCGGAGAAACATCAGTCTCGCTTTTATCACCGAAACTTGGCTAAAGTCTACCGTTGCCGACTCTGTTATCGATATCCCAGGCTATTCTGTTCTGCGCAAAGATCGCCTATCTGATCATCATGGTGGCGTGTGTCTTTACATCAAGGATGCAATTAGTTATAAGCGAATCGAGGACTTGTCTTGCTGTTCCGACCATGAGATCCTGTGGGTTCAACTTCACCCAACTCGCCTTCCGAGAGGGTTTTCCTCCCTCGTCGTAGCCGTCATYTACCATCCTCACTGGACCGCAGCTGAGAACAATCTTATGCGAGATCACTTGTTTCAATCACTTTCTCTGGTTGAGTCGCGCTTTCCTAACAGTGCCCTTATTTTAACAGGAGASTTTAMCCGCCTGGACACCAAATCAATATGCAGGCACTTYCAATTGAAACAAATCGTAAAAAAAGCCAACTAGAAAGGACGCCATTTTAGATCTTGTCCTGACCAATCTGCATGGTTACTATGACAACCCACAGCATTTCCCGCCCTTCGGCTTATCAGACCATCATACTGTTACTGTGGAGGCAAAAGTGAGGGAAAACTGCAGTAATATRTCAAAGTTTCTTTTCAAACGCGACAAAAGAGAAAGTCGMAGAGCAGRATTCGGAAGATACTTGAGCGCAATGGATTGGTCTGTACTGTTTTCTGAGGCAAATTGCTGTCAGGATATGCTAGATATTTTTATTGATGTTCTGCATACTGGACTCGATATTCTAATGCCCATTAAAAGAGTACGTATAAATACACGCGACGCTCCATGGATGACTCAGCATCTGAAATCTCTGATTTTGAAAAGGCAAAGGGCTTTTCACAAAAATGGTGCGGAGTCGACGCAGTACAAGTATTACAGAAACATTGTAAATCGTGCAAGAAAGTCATGTAAAGCTGAATTCTATAAGTCCAAAGTACAGCATATGAAGGAGGAAAATCCCAAGGCATGGTGGAAAGAAGTAAAACGGTTAGGTGGTGCACACTCTAACTCAGGGGACATAACTAATCATATTCATRTCGASGAAGTTAAAGATCTATTGCCTCAGGAGCTTGCAAATGTAATTAACAAAGCCTTTCTGGAGCCTATGGAAGAGTATCGTTTGTCCCAACCACTGACTCAGCTTCCGATTAATGATGGCTGTCCGGAGTTACCAGATCTCTCAGAGCTRCGCATTCAAAAKTTGTTGWCGAAACTGAATCCATCCAAGGCATGTGGGCCTGACAACGTACCAAATTGGTTGCYAAAGGAATATGCGGATTTGCTTGCATTTCCAGTAACAAAGATCATCAATTCCTCTCTGAAAGAGCAGCGTCTCCCTCACATATGGAAATTAGCCGATGTAACGCCATTGCCGAAAAAGAAGCCAGTGAAAGACCTCAAGAAGGACCTAAGGCCTATTTCGCTAACTGCATGTTTGTCTAAAGTTGCGGAAGACTGCGTTGTGAATGATTACGTAAAGCCTGCTGTTCTCAAAGTCTTGGACCCAAACCAGTATGGGGCGATTCCCAAGTCATCAACTACCCAAGCATTAATTCACATGATCCACGACTGGGCAAAGGGAACAGATGGAAATGGCGCAACAGTCAGGACTTTGCTTTTTGACTATCAGAAAGCATTCGACCTAATAGATTATAGAATACTCATAGACAAATTATGTAAGTTAGATTTACCRAATAGGATAACTAATTGGCTGATTGACTTTTTGTCAAATCGCTCTCAGAGAATAAAGCTTGCTGAGGGATGTTTCTCTGAATGGGCCTCTGTCCCCTCCGGGGTCCCACAAGGGACAAAACTGGGACCATGGTTGTTTCTAGTTCTAATTAATGATTTAAATATGAGCGAAGGCCTAGATGGCCAGTTATGGAAATATGTTGATGATACCACCGCATCTGAAATTGTAGCTAAGGGCAAAGCCAGTAATGCACAGCAAATAGCTGACCATATTTCTCAGTGGTCTGCTGTAAATCGAGTAAAGTTAAATAGTGCTAAATGTAAAGAATTAAGAATCTCTTTTGCCAAGAATCAACCAGA